TTAATAAATTAGTGATTTTCACCAAAAAACGWATTAAACTAAGAAAATTTTGGACAAAAGAAAGCAATAAAAACATAAATTTGGTTTAAAATGCGTTATTTTCTAAAGTTTTTCATTAAAAACAACAAAACGTTTATTTTTTTTTTAATTAGGGTATAAAAAAGCTAAAATTTGTAATATTTTACAATATGTAAAATTGCAAGTTAAGAGTTATTTTTGAAACTTTTTAAAAATTGAGTGTATTTTTCACCAAGAAACTTCAATTACATTAAAAAAATTTGCAAAAATTTGCTGAAACAAGGTGGGAAATTACAGTCATTGTTATTTTTGTCGATTTTTATAAATTCAGTGTTTTTCACAAAAAAAACTTGTTAAATTAAAAAAAATGGCTAAAAATTTATAAATTTGGTCTAAAATACGTTATTTTCTATGACTTTAATTGTTTTTTTAACAAAAAGCTCAATTTTGTAATATTTTACGATAACCATGTGGAAAATTGCAAAGTAAGAATTATTTTTGTCACTTTTTAAAAATTGAGTGTGTTTTTTACCAAGAAACTTATTAAAGTGAAAAAATTTTGGACCAAAAAAAAAACAAAAAATTCATAAATTGGACTGAAATGCGTTGTTTTCTTGAGTTTTTTATTAAAAAAATTAAACTTTTAGATATTTTTTCAAAAAAAAGATGAGAAAGTGCAAAGTTACAGTTATTTTTGTGTAAATTAGAGTGCTTTTGACCAAAAAAAAAAAAATTTAACTAAAAAAATTCTGATCAAAGAAAAGCAAAAATAATTTAACTTTGCTCTAAAATGCGTTATTTTCTTAAAATTAACCAGTTTTTTACTAAAAAAATTAAAATTCGTAAAAGTGTGTTAAAACAAGGTAAAAATTTGCACTAATTGTTATTTTTGTCGATTTTGTGTTTTTCACCAAAAACTTGTTAAATTAAAAAAAAGTTGGTCAAAAAAAAAGGTAAAAATTTATAAATGTGGTCTAAAATTTTCTTTGAGTTTTTTTATTAAAAAAGTTAAAATCTGTAATATAAAACAAGATGGAAAATTGCTAAATCAGATCTAATACCGCGTTTTTCAGATCACTTTTTATAAATTTAAGGCATTTTTTACACAGAAACTTAATAAATTTAAAATTAATTAAAAATTTATTAATTTATAATACAGAATTTGAGCATTTTTTGACCAAAATCTTGAAAAAAAAAACTATTAACTTAAAATAAAAAATAAAATAATTGCCAATTCATAACTGCCAACTTAATTTTAAAATAAGCGACCCCCTTGATCAAAAAACTTTAATTTTTTTATGCCTTTAAAAAAAAATGTCATTATTTTAGTAATCAAAAAAAAATGTTTGGTAACCCTGAATTATTGACAGTCAATGGTAATGCAGCGCCTACTTGACGACAAAAATCTAGTTTTTTTCTAAGTTATTTTTATCATTTTTGATATAATTTCAGTCACAGGCTACTTTAAATTTTCAAACAATCCAATTATGAAAACACCACTTAACAAAATGCCTTAATTAAAAATTTTGATTATTTTAGTGAATTTATTAAAACTTGTGTTGATTTACATCAAAATGACTTAGGTATTTAATTATTTATAATCTTGTCAGTTTAATTAAATTTCGTCTTATTATGAGTGACAGTGACGGTCATTTAAAGCCCCAAGAAACGCAAAATTATCATCATAATATAATAGTTTCGTCCTCAAATATTCAATTTTACTACCCATAATTACAGCAATAATTGATAAAATTCTATATAAATACGGTTCAAAAATTTTCACACAAAAACACGATGTTGAAAATAATTATTTTAGCTTTGACACTTGTGGTAGCTTCTGGTTATGATGATGGTAAGTTTTAAACTACCAAATTTATATTTTAATTTTTTTTTTTTTCAAGAAACGAGAGTTAAAAGAGCCAATCAACAAGTTGCACCTCTCCTATGCCAATTCATCGACAATTTGGATCATTTTTTCGACAATTTAAACCAAAAATTTGTTTATTTACTCGAAGTTGATGCTCTTGGATGTGTTATACATATCGAAAATTGGGTTCGTGATTTAATCGAAAGTGGTATCAAGATTTTATTTTCAATCCGAAAAAGTGTGATTGTCGTAATCACACGTTTTGTTGTGGCGATTGTAAATTTGGTGTTTCTTTTTATTAAAATAATTCGCAGTATTTTGGATTATTTACCAGAGAGTGTTTTTTGTTAAAAAATTCTAGTAAAATGGGTGAAAATAGTGTGTTTTTTTTTAATTTATTGGTCATTTCCTCCAATTTCTCCTCATAATTCCCGAGATTAGGTTTTTAGTTTAGTATTGACAATTTATTTTTTTAAATATAAAAGTATTGACGTAAATAAACGTTTTGTTGAAATTGTGA